ACTTTACATTCTTCGATTTTTCATTTTTTGATTTATCGGCTTTTCGATTTTTAAAATCATTACATTTTTTAAATTATTCAATTTTTCAATTTATTCGAATTTTTAAATTATAGATTTTTCGATTTATCATTTTTTGATGTTCTGATTTTTCAGTTCCCCGATTTTTTGATTTCTGGATTGCTAAAATTTTTCGAATTTTTAATTTTGAAAATTTTTCGACTTCTTAGTTTTTCGATTCCTCGATTTTTCTTCGATTTTTCAATTTTTTGATATTTCAATTCCTCGATCCTCAGAGTTTTGGAGGTTTCAGATTTTACATTGTTCAAATGTCCGATTTTCCGTCTTTCAATTTTTTAATTTTAAATTTTTCAGTTTATAATTTCTTAATTTGGGCTATTTCGACTTCTTGACTCTTGATTTCTTGATTTCTAGATGTTTTCATGCTTCGATTTCTCGATATTTTAATTTTTCTATCTCGATTTTTCAGTTTTCGAAGTTTCGATTTTCAGTTTTTCGGTTTCCCAATTATTTGTTTCAATTTTTAAATTTTTCGAATTTTTACATTTTTCAATGTTTCAATTTCACAAGATCACGGTTTTTCCATCTTTAAAATTTTGCGGCTTTTCGATTTTTGAGATTATTGTATTTTTCAACTTTTCCAGTTGTTAAAACACAGACTTTCCGATGTATCAACTTCTTCTTTTGTTCGAGATTTTAGTTTTACAGTTTTTAAATTTTTCGATTTTTTTCAATTTCACATTTTTCGATTTTCATTTTTTCCCTATTTTGTGTAAAACTTCAATTTTTCGATTTTTCGACATCACGGTTTGGCCTATTCCGATCTCTCGACTTATCGATTTATTAATTTCTAGATCTTTTCATGTTTCGATTTCTCGATGTTTCAGATTTTTGCTTTTTCGATTTTCAGTTTCTCTATTTCCCAATTTTGCGATTCAATTTTTAGATTTTTCGAAATTTTAAATTCTTCATTTTTAGATTTTTCAATATTTTGGCATTTTTTGTTTTCTCCATATTTCTACATTTCAATTTTAGGAATTTTTCAATTTTCCGATATTGATTTTTTGGTTTTTTGGTTGTTTTTCGGATTTCGATTTTTTAATTTAATTTTTAATTGTTGAATTTTTCAGTTTGTATTGTCTTGATTTTGGGCTGATTTGATTTTTCGACTTCTCCATTTTTCGATTTCTTGATGTTTCAATTTTTCGATGTCTTGATTTCTCCATTTCTTGTTTTTTTGGCTTTTCAATTTTCCAATTTTTCGAGGTTTCGATTTTCAGTTTTCCGATTTCCCAATTTTTTGATTTTTCAGTTTTTCAAATTTTTCGATTTTTAAATTTTATTTGTTTCGATTTTTCACTTTTTGATGTTCGGTTTTTTCAATTCCCCGATATTTTTCCTTAAATATTTCAATTTTTTTCGATTTCTCAACAGCTCGGTTTTTCGATTGTTAAAATTTCAGGACTTTTCGATTTTATCAACTTTTCGTTATTTCGGTTTTGGAATTTTTCTATATTCCAATTCTTCAGTGTTAGAATTTCTCGGGTTTTCAATTTTTCGATTTTTTTAATGTTTCAATTTCTCGATCATTCGATTTCTAGGTTTAGATTTTTCGATTTTTCAATTTTTCGATTTTTAAGATTTCAGTTTTTCGATTTCCCAATTTTTCGATTTCCGAACGTCATGGTTTTTCGATCTTTAAAAATTTGCGCCTTTTCGATTTATATATAAGATTATTCAATTTTTCAGTTTTTCCATTTTTAAAAACAGACATTCCGATTTATCAATTTCTCGTTTTTTTACCGTTCAGTTTTTCATTTTTTAAATCTTCCGATTTTCTGAATTTCACATTTTTCGATTTTCATTTTTTGATTTTATGATTTTTTGACGTTTCGATTTCCCGATTTTATTTTTTAATACTTCAATTTTTGATTTCTCCACATCACAATTTTTGATTTCTCCACATCACGGTTTTCAATTTTTTTAATTTTTCGGTTTTCCGGTTTTTAGTTTATTCGATTTCTCAATTTTTCCATTTTTTAAAACACAGACCTTCCGATTTATAATTTTTTTGTTTTTTGAGTCTTTAGTTTTCCAGTTTTTCAATTATTCGGTTTTTTATTTTTTTTATTTTTCTTCGATTTTTCGAATTTTCAGATTTGGAATATTTCAGTTTTTCGATTATTCTGGTTTTCAATTTTTCGATTTTTAAAGTTTTCGATTTTTCATTTTATGTATTGATCAAATTCCCGATATTCTCAATTTTTCGATTTTTTTAATTTAAAATTTTTCAAGTTTTCAGTTTTTAATTTCTTGATTTGGGCTATTTCGATTTCTCGATTTTTCGACTTCTCGAATTTTCGATTTCTTTATTTCTGGATCTTTTCATGTTTCGATTTGATGATGTTACAATTTTTCTGACTCGATTTGCCGAGTTTTCGATTTTTCGTTTTTCCAATTTTTCGTGATTTCGATTTTCAGTTTTTTAATTTCCCATTTTCTCGAATTCTCGATTTTTCAATTTTCCGATATTGAATTTTCGGTTTTTTGATGTTTGGATTGCTCGAGTTTTCGATTTTTCCAATTTCGATTCCTCGGTTTTTCAAATTTTTGATCTTATTTTTTTAATTTATCGATTTTTTTTTTCAATTTTTTAGTTTTTTGGCCTATTCCGATCTCTCGACTTATGGATTTAGTGATTTTTGGATCTTAACATGTTTCGATTTCTCGATGTTTCAGATTTTCGCTTTTTCGATTTTCAGTTTCTCGATTTCCCAATTTCGCAATTCAATTTTAGATTTTTCGAAATTTTAAATTTTACATTTTTCGATGTTTCTCAATATTTTGGCATGTCGGTTTTTCGTTTTGTAAAATTTTTCGATTTTTAAAATTTTTCGACTTTTCGATTGTTCGATTTCCCAATTTCTCAACTTCAATTTTTAGATTTTTCGAAATTTTAAATTCTACATTTTTCGATTTTTCAATATTTTGGCATTTTTCGTTTTCTCAATATTTCTACATTTCAATTTTAGGAATTTTTCAATTTTCCGAGATTGGTTTTTAGTTTTTTGTTTGTTTTTCGGATTTCGATTTTTCCACCTTTCAATTTATTAATTAATCGATTTTTTTTAATTTTGAATTTTTCAATTTTTCAGTTTGTACTTGCTTGATTTAGGGCTGTTTTGATTTTCGAGTTCTCCACTTTTTTTCCATGTTTCGAATGTTTCGATTTCTCGATGTTTCAATTTTTCAATTTTCCAATTTTTGGAGGTTTCAATTTTTGTTTCGATTTTTCGACTCCTAAATTTTTGTTTTCTTGATTTCTGCATCTTTTGATTTTTCGATTTCTCGATGTTCCAATTTTTCTATTTCTCGATGGTTCAATTTCGCGATGTATCGATTTCTCCATTTCTCGATTTTTCGGCTTTTCAATATTTTAATTTTCCAATTTTTCGAGGTATCAATTTTTGGACTATTTCGATTTCTTGATTTTTCAACTTCTCACTTTTCTTGATTTCTGTATCTTCTGATGTCTTGATTTCTCGATGTTTCCTTTTTTTTAATTTTTCGACTTCGATTTTTTGATTTCTCGATTTTTCAACATTTCAATTTTCCGATATTAATTTTTCAGTTTTTTGATGTTTCGTTGCTCAAGTTTTTGATTTTTCGATTTTCCGGATTTTGATTTCTGTTTTTCAATTTTTCAATCGTGATTCATCATATCCTAACAAACTTGTTACACAATTTTCTCACTCTTTAGATAAACAGAGTAAAAAAGTGACAGTGACTTCAGTACCAATATCCACTTCCGTAGGTTACTTAAAACCATTTACAATAATTGGGTCAATCCTACTTTCTAATTCAATCGATTTCAAATTGAAAACTGCTTCTTTTTGCAAAGCTAGTTTCAATAATTCTTCACAAATTCAGTCAAAGATGTCAAAACATAATAATTCAATTGTTAATACCTGGTGACTTTATCAAAAAACTCCTATTGCTCCTCTAGCTCGCTCCGGGCGCGTTCATTTTCTCGCACCGATCAGGATCCAACCTCATCTCGACCGGTGGCCACTCGGCATTCCAGATGCGGCTTCGCCCACTTGCCCTTTGGCCCGGCCGCCGCCGAGGCGTGCCGTCGCCTCCACTGCGACTCGATTCGGTCGCGTGGTCGTTAGGGCTCTTTTTTATGGCCCCCGATTTGAATCTTTCGAGATTTTCGATTGGACGCCGTTTCCTGGCATTCTGCGAGGCGCCGCGACTCCTGCGTCCGTATATCACCTCGCAGCTATCTTAGGTGAACTGTCTCGTTAGCGACCGCCGGGCGACATAAATCAGTCCGGATAAAAGTGAGGACCTAATGGCCGCAGGTGGGCTATAAACGTTCTCTTCAGATATTCATAATTCATACATTACGTCCTTAACGCTTCACTGAGGGTTTATACTTGCGTAATGAACCGTGGCCCATCGGGGTCACTTGAATCCGCACCTCGCCGACTACTTCTACACGCTCCTGAACGTCTTGTTCGCCTTTTTATCGACGCGTTTTGAATATTATTGCAATTTAATGATGAAGAGCGCGTTGTAAATCTTGCGTGCTATTGATTTTTTCGACTATCGTGGCTTGTTAACCTAAACAAAACTGCGAACGCTCTTATTTTCTTCGGGAAAGATGGATCCCGAGGGAGCCGATTCGTCAAAACGCCGTCGCTACAAATTTAGTCGAAAGTTTACTTAACGTGGAAAGCCCGTCGTCTGTAAAACGGGTCTTTAATTTCCCGGAAATGACTATTGCTTGTTAAATTATATTGGTCGGTTCGGGCCGGCTCACCCTACGTTATTAATGTCGCCCCATCAAAATAACGAGGAATAACAATACGCATTTGACACGTCAAGCGTCGGGTATTTGGCGCCCGAGAAAGCCAGCTTTAATATGTGTAGGTGCCTCATTACCGAGAAATATTGATTCGAATGTTTCTTTTCAGAACTCGATCCGACACAATCTATCACTACACAACCGCTTCATGCGCGTCCAAAACGAAGGCACCGGAAAATCCTCCTGGTGGATGATCAACCCGGACGCCAAACCCGGAAAATCAGTACGGAGAAGGGCAGCTTCGATGGAAACTAGCAAATTCGAAAAACGGAGAGGCCGGGTGAAGAAGAAGGTCGAACTTATGAGAAATGGCGCCCTTCCTGACACCACTCCTAGTCCTAGTTCGTCTGTCTCAGAGAGTCTGGATTTGTTCCCGGAATCACCGATCCATAGGTAACGTTTTTGCCGCTTTGGCATCGGCCGTTTCTCACTCATTTCGCATCTCGGAGACATCGTTTTTACATCGATCGAATTGGTTGTGTTCATTTGGTTAACTCGAACCCAGACGAAGAGGTCGGTTTAAACACACCTGGAGATTCGTCATAAACCATTACGGTATTATGGGGTGTTAAATAAATCATTTACATGTAGTGGTTTATGAAATTAGTATGATTATCGAATTTTTGCACTACTACAACGTGCCAATTTTGACTTTTATCTATTTGGGTCTTATTTGAGCCCGAGTTTCAAGAATTACAAAAAAATGTGGATTGTAGACATTGACGGAGAATGGCAATGTATAAGTCGGAATATTTGGCCTGCTAGGTCACCAGATTTAACTCCAGCGGATTTTTCAATTTTCGGTTGCCTGAAAAACGAAATGTTTAAGCAAAGAATTAATAATTTAAATGATAACTGGAATAATAGAAAAAAGACGGTACTTGAAACACAAACCGAAAGTAGCCGTAACCACCGACAAAACACGTGACCCCTAATATCCAATAAGGTGAAAGCGGCGAAAAACTTGACATTGATTGAACCTAATATTTGTGTTGGCAATTCTGAATTGTTCGCAGCAATGTTAACGTGTCAATTCATAGTTGTCGACTGCTACTACAAAGCTGATGTTGACAATTAGATATACCAACATACAATTTAATACAAATGGCTAGAAATCCACTAGTACTTTTGTATTAGGGATCATGTAAATTATCTTTAAATTAGTGATAGGAAAACGGGGACATGGAAAACAAATCACGATTTTTTAATAAGTAAATCAATAAAACTTGACATGAAAATTTAATAGTTATTTGAGTATTAAGAGCATAATTAGAAGATTATGGCACGAGGGCCCGACGAAGGAGGGCTTAAAATTTCCTGAGGGCCATAATCGACAATTATGCTCGAGGTACATACAACGTTTTATTCTATTTTAAGATGGAAAACATCGCAAAAATCCAAAAAATTAGAAAATAAAAAATAAAAATTATCCAAATCGACAAAATGAAATTAATTAAAAAAAATCAGTCAAAGCCCCCATATGACAGTCAGAGCCCGTGGAAGAGTGTCAGGGCTCCTGGAATTCAGTTAGGGCCCATGGAAGGAAGTCAGGGCCCTTGGAAGAGAGTCAGGGCTTCTAGAAAAAAATCAAGGTCCCTGGAAGACAGTCATTAGAGCCTGAAATCATATCAGGTCACTTGAAAAATTGTCTCAATTTATCGATTAAAGCTTGAGACCCCAATAAAAACCATTATTTTTACGAACGAAGCGAGAAATTTTTTTACTATTTTTGTTTTCTTAGCAAATACTAGCCCCGCCCATCCGCCCTCTCTTTGCTTGTAGGATATGCCATTTGCCAAAATCAGTTTTACCTTAGCAAGTACTAGCCCCGCCCACCCGCCCTGTATTTTTCATAGGAGGTATGTCATTTGCCAAAATCACTCGCATCTTAGCAAGTACTATATTATATATTGAAATGGCAAAATAAATTATTAAACAATAATTAAATAGTACTTGCTAAGATAAAACTGATTTTGGCAGTGACATATGCTCTAAGAAATTTGAGGGTGGGTGGGCGGGGCTAGTATCTGCCATGGTAAGACTGATTTTGGCAAATCACATACGCCCTAAGGAAAGCGAGGGCGGGTGGGTGGGGCTAGTAGCTGCTAAGATAAGACTGATTTTGGCAAATGAGATCCCTGTAAGGAAATAACGGGTGGGTGGGCGGGGTAGTACTTGCTCAAATAACATCGATTTTGACAAATGACATACACTCTAAGAAAATAGCGGGTGGGTGGGCGGGGTAGTACTTGCTAAAATAAGATCGATTTTGGCAAATGACATACACTCTAAGAAAATAGACGGTGGGCAGCAGGAGTTAGTACTTGCTAAGATAAGACTGATTTTAGGAAATTAAATTATTATAAGAAAAGACATTAAAGCAGTTTATTTCCAAACGGGAATACCTAGAACCTCAAGATTGTTTTAAATTAAAAAAAAAAAACAGGGTCCTAAAAGTAACTCAAAAACAAGTTAGGTCAGAATTTTACAAAAACAGACCACCAAAGTCCCTTAAATAATTATCTAAAACAATTTTGGGAGACTTCGGTGTTTTAGAGGAATCTTATTTGCCAAAATCAGTCTTAACCTAGAAGGTACTAGCCCCACCCACAACTAAAAAAATTGAAAACATGTGTCCAAAAAATTTTTTTTTAATCAAAAATCCAAGAAACTCAAGAAATTAAAGAAAACTCTAGCCTCAAAAATTGCAAAATTCCAAAAGATGCAAAACATTCCAGAAAGTCAAAAAATCAGAAAATAAAAAACAAAAAATTAAAATTATCCAAATAATCCACAAAATGGAATAAATAAAAAAACAAAAAACCCAAAAAATCTAAGAATTTAAACACTCCAAAAAGTCCAAAAACCCAAAAATCACAGACCACCAAAGTCCCTTAAATAATTATATAAAACAATTTTTGGGGACTTTGGTGTTCTAGAGGGATCTCATTTGCCAAAATCAGTCTTAACCTAGAAGGTACTAGCCCCACCCACCCACCCTCTCTTTTCTTAGAGTATGTCATCTGCCAAAATCAGTCTTATCCTATAAGATACTAGCCCCACCCACCCACCCCCTTTTTTCTTCGACTATGTCATCTGCCACTATCAGTCTTATCCTAACAGGTACTATGCCCCACCCACCCACCCTCTCTTTTCTTAGAGTATGTCGTCTGCCAAAATCAGTTTTATCGTAGCTAGTACCTGCTAAGATAAGGCTGATTTTGGCAAATGAGATACTGTCTAAGAAAAGAGAGGGAGGGTGGGTGGGGCTAGTACCTGCTAGGATAAGACCGATTTTGGCAAATGAGATTCTTCTATAGAAAATAGAGGGCGGGTGGGCGGGGTTAGTACTTGCTAATCTAAGATCGATCTTGGCAGGTACTAGCCCCGCCCCCACTCGTCCTCACTTTTCATCGAGCGTATCTCATTTACCAAAATCAGTCTTATCTTAGTTGTTACTAGCCCCGCCCACCCACCCTCTCCTTTCTTAGAGGCTATCTTATTTGCCAAAATCAGTCTTACCTTGGCAGATACTAGTCCCGCCCACCTGCGCTCTATTTTCTTGAAAGATATGTGATTTGGCAAAGTCAGTCTTATCTTAGCAAGTAGGTACTATATTATATATTGAAATGGCAAAATAAATTATTACACAATAATTAAATAGTACTTCCTAAGATAAGTCAGTGCAGCAGAGAGAGAGTCAGGGCTCCTGTAAAAAAATCAGGACCCTTGGAAGACAATCATTAGAGCCCCGAGAAGACAGTCATTAGAGCCCCTGGAAGACAGTCAGGGCTCCTGGAGGACAGTCAGGATTCCTGGAAGACAGTCACGCGTCACTGTAAGACAGTCAGGGCCCCTAGAAGACAGTCATCAGCGTCCTCGAAAGACACTTAGGGCCACTAGAAGACAGTTAGGGCCGCTGAAAAACACTCAGGGCCTTTAAAAAAACTCATAAATCCAAAAAGCAAAATATTTCAAAAAATCCAAGAAACCCAAGAAATTAAAGAAAACTCGAGCCTCAATAATTGCAAAATTCCAAAAGATGCAAAGCATTCCAAAAAGTCAAAAAATCAGAAAATAAAAAACAAAAAATTAAAATTATCCAAAGATCCACAAAATGGAATAAATAAAAAAACAAAAAACCCAAAAAATCTAAGAATTTAAACACTCCAAAAAGTTCAAAAGACCCAAAAATCGAAGAAATCCAAAAAATCAAAAAATGAAAATATGTTTCAAAAAAAAAATTCAAAATTCCAAAAGTCCGAGGAAATAAATTAGTTCTTCTGAGGTAAACACTACCGATAAAAGGATGTACAAAAAGGACCTTTTGTTCGTAAATTTCAAAAAGAGAGTCAGGGCCCCTGAAAGACAGTCAGGGCCTTTGGAAAAGAGTCAGGGCTTCTGGAAAAAAATCAAGGTCCCTGGAATACAGTCATCAGAGCCCTGAAAAGACAGTCATTAGAGCCTCTGGCAGACAGTCAGGGCTCTTGGCGAACAGTCAGGACCCCTGGAAGACAGTCACGAGCCATTGTAAGACAATTAGGCCCACTAGAAGACAGTTAGGGCCGCTTAAACACTCAGGGCCTCTGGAAGACAGTCAGGGCCTTTGGAAGAGTGTCAGGGCCCTTGGAAGAGAGTCAGGACCCCAGGAACAGAGTCAGGGTCCTGGAAGAGAGTCAGGGCCTTTGGAAGAGAGTCAGGGCCCTTGGAATAGATTCAGGGCCCCTGGAAGAGAGTCAAGGCCTCAGATATAGAGTCAGGGCCCCAGAAAGAGAGTCAGGGCTCCTGTAAAAAAATCAGGGGCCCTGGAAGGCAGTCAGGACCCCTGGAAGACAATCATCCGAGCCCCGAGAAGACGGTCATTAGAGCCTTTGGAAGACAGTCAGGGCTCCTGGAGGACAGTCAGGATTCCTGGAAGATAGTCACGCGTCACTGTAAGACAGTCAGGGCCCCTAGAAGACAGTCATCAGCGTCCTCGAAAGACACTTAGGGCCACTAGAAGACAGTTAGGGCCGCTGAAAAACACTCAGGGCCCCTGGAAGACAGTTAGGGCCTTTAAAAAAACTCATATATCCAAAAAGCAAAAGATTTCAAAAAACCCAAGAAAGAAATTCAGGAAAATTAATAAACTAAAAAAATTGAAAACATGTGTCCAAAAATTTTTTTTTTAAATCAAATCCAAGAAACCCAAGAAATTAAAGAAAACTCGAGCCTCAATAATTGCAAAATTCCAAAAGATGTAAAACATCCCAAAAATCCAAAAAATCAGAAAATAAAAAACAAACAATAAAAATTATCGAAATAATGGACAAAATGGCATAAATAAAAAAACAAAAAACCCAAAAAAATCTTAAAAATCAAAAATCCGAAGAGATAAATTAGTTCTTCTTGAGGTTAATACAACCGATAAAAGAATGTACAAAAATGAATTTTTTTTCGTAAATTTCAAAAAGTAAACGGTAAAGTAAAATTTTATATGTACCACGGCTATTATTTGAAGTTTATGCCCTCGGGCATAAACTTATTGTCTTAAGTATTGTACTTTTTTGGCAGATCATTATTTGATTTATTTAATTGAACGACGCGTTAAAATTTATAATGACACTAATGGAGAGCGCCAATTTTTTTGACGAGTCCGGTTCTTAATCATGTATTAGTGCGAATTTTGAAAAAAGTGGTGTGTTTAAGTCGGCCTTGCCGATTTTCTCCCTCATAGCCGCACCCACCATGCGCCAATCTCGTGGTCTGGCATCCGCACGGTCATAGCATGCCCATCACACCTCGATCGCCGTCTAACTCGCCTTTCCTCCCCAGCGGCGCCGGTTTCCAACTAAGCCCAGACTTCAGACCTCGAGCTTCCTCAAACACGTCCTCTTGTGGCCGACTGTCGCCGATACCAGCGGTCGTAGGTGTCGAGCCCGACTGGAGTTCCCCCAGTCAGTTCAATTCGGCAAACTATAGCCCAGAAATGCCCGGTAACTATTCACCCGATCAGCTTGCAGGGAACCTAGAACAAGGCATGAAACTCCAACCAGACGCCTACATGGGGTGAGCACAAGTTGTGCCGTTCTGCTTACGCTCTTGCACTTATCGCTTATGGCTGTGTCTTCGCTCGCACTCGAGAGCCGCACTCACCGGTTCGAATTTTACAGGTACATCAACGGCCAGACGCCGCAACAGCCGCCGCCCCCGTACACCGCCCCCTACGAACAATTCCCTGGACGGAGGGAGATCAATTCCTTACACGCCACCTCGCCGTACGGACTCTCGCAGTGCCCCATCCACCGCTTGCACTCGTGTTCGTGCATGCAGGTCCAGTGCAAAGTTGAGGTAGGTAGAGGAGAGACGGGAAAATCGAAAGTGATTACAAATGCTCTTAAATTAATAGAAAATAGAGCATATGTAATTTTACCCAGGTATATTTGTAAGATTGAACATTCCAAAAAAACTGAACATTTTGAAGATTCTTAAAACTTTGAACACCCCAAAGGTTCCAAAAATTCCAGAAACTTCAAAAATTCCGTGCATTACAGGACTCCAAAGATTCCAAATATTATGGGATTGTAAAGATTCTAAAGATTCTGGTTTTCAAGATTTCGAAGATTTCAAATATTCAGACGGTTCCAGAATTTCACAAAATTCTGATACATTTCTGAAGATTCACAGTATTTGAAAAATTGAAAATTCCAAAAAATCTGAAGACTTGAAAGAATCCGAAGATTTCAGCAATTTCAGAAATTTCAAAAATTCCGTATATTCCGAGTCCTAAAGATTCTAAAGCTGTGAAGATTTATATATTTCGAAGATCGAAGATTCCAAAAAATCTGAAAACTTTGAGGTTACAAAGATTCTTAGAAAATAAAAATTTCGAGGTTTCAAAAATTTCAAAAATCCAGAGGTTCCAGAGATTCTAGGGATTCCAGAAATTTCGAAAGATTTTGAGGATTCTGAAAATTCTAAAAATTGATAAATTCGAAGATTCTAAAGATTCCTAGTATTTCAAAAACTCAAGGTTCCCAAAAGTCTGAAGTGTTTGAAAATTCTGAAGGTTCTAAAGGTTCCAGAAATTCTAAGAGCCCTGGATATAACGAGAGTCTAGAGTTTCCAGAGATTCGAGAAGAAGAATCTTAAATTTCTGAACGTTTGAAAAGATTTAAAATATTTAGGGATTCTAAAGTTTCTTGAAGTTTCGAAGACTGGAGATTTGAAAATTCAAGATTTCGAAGATTTCAAATATTCCAACGGTTGCAGAAATTCCAGAAATTCTGATACTAAAGATTCTAAAGATTCCAAAAAATCTGAAGACTTGAAAGATTCCGGAGAATCAGAAAATTACAAAGATTCCAAAAGTTTAGGAAATTCCAGATTATACAAAAATTCTGTATATTCAAAGACTCCAGCGACTCCAAAAGCTCCAAAATTCCAGATATTACGAGTTTGTAGGGATTGTAGAGTTTCTAAAGATTCTTAAGATTCTGGAGATTGAGTATCTTAAAGGCTAAATATTTCAAAAAAATCTGAAGGCAGTGGAGATTTCAAAGATTCTAAACATTATAAAGATTCCAAATGTTAAAAAAATTCCAAATATTCTGGATATTACGAGAGTCTATAGTTTCCAGAGGTTTGAGAGGTTCTAAGAATCTGAAATTTCTGACGGTTCTGAGGATTCTGGACGTTTTGAAGATTCCAAAAAAATCTGAAGACTTGAAAGATTCCGAACATTCAGAAAATTGCAGAGATTCGAAAAGTTTCAGAGATTTCAGAAATTTAAAAAATTCCGTATATTCGGAAGCCCTAGAGATTCCAGAAATTTGAAAAGATTTAAAATATTTAGGGATTCTAGGGATTCTGAAGTTTCTTAAGATTTCGAAGACTGAAGATTTGAAAATTGAAAATTTCGAAGATTTTAAATATTCCAACGGTTCCAGAAATTCCAAAAATTCGTATACCAAAGATTCTAAAGATTCAGAAAATTACAAAGATTCCAAAAGTTTCAGAGATTCCAGAACCTTCAAAAGTTCCGTATATTCGAAGACTCCAGCGATTCCAAAAGTTCCAGATTCCAGATATTACGGGTTTGTAAATATTTTAAAGATTCTGAAGATTCTGAGTATTTCAAAGTCTAAGGATTTGAAGAAAATCTGAAGACATTGAAGATTTCAAAGATTCCAAGATTGTAAAGATTCCAAATGTTCCAGAAATTCTAAAAGTTCTGGATATTATGAGAGTGTAGACTCTAGAGTTTCCAGAGATTTGAGAGATTCTAAGAATCTGAAAATCCTGAAGGTTCTGACGATTGTGGAGGTTTTGAAGATTTCGAAGATTTCAAATATTCCGACGGTTCCAGAGATTCCAAAAATTCTGATACTAAATATTCTAAAAAATCCGACAATTCTGAAGATTCACAGTATTTGAAAAATTTAAGATTCCAAAAAATCTGCAGACTTGAAAGATTCCGAAGATTCAGAAAATTACAAAGATTCCAAAAGTTTTAACGATTTCAAAAACTCCGTATACATATTCCGAGGTCCTAGAGATTCCAGAAATTCAAAAATATTTAGAATATTTAGGGATTTTAAAGATTCTTAATATTTTTAATATTCTAGAGTTTCTGATGATTCCAAGATTCCAAAAAATCTAAAAACTTTGAGGTTACAAAGATTGTTAGAAATATAAAGATTTCAGAGGTTTCAAAGATCTCAGAAATTCCAGAGGTTCCAGAGATTCCAAAAATTCCCAAAGATTCTGAAGGTTCCAAAAATTCTGACACTAAAGATTCTAAAAAATTCGACAGATCTGAAGATTCACAGTATTTGACAAATTGAAGATTCTAAAAATATGAAGACTTGAAAGATTCCGAAAATTCAAAAAATTACAAAGATTCCAAAAGTTTCAGCGATTTCAGAGATTTCAAAAATTCTGTATATTCTCAGGTACTAGAGATTCCAGAAATTCCAAAAGATTTAGAATATTTAGGGGTTCTAGGGATTCAAAAGATTGTTAAGATTTTGAATATTCTAAAGTTTTTGATGATTTGGATATTTCGAAAATCGAAGATTCCAAAAAATCTGAAAACTGAAGCTTCAAAGATCTCAGAAATTCCAGAGGTTCCAGAGATTCCAAAAGTTCCGAAAGATTCTGAAGGTCCCAAAAATTCTGACACTAAAGATTCTAAAAAATTCGACAGATCTGAAGATTCACAGTATTTTATAAATTGAAGATTCTAAAAATATGAAGACTTTGAAAGATTCCGAAAATTCAAAAAATTACAAAGATTCCAAAAGTTTCAGCGATTTCAGAAATTTCAAAAATTCTCTATATTGCCAGGTACTAGAGATTCCAGAAATTCCAAAAGATTTAGAATATTTAGCGATTCTAGGGATTCAAAAGATTCTTAAGATTTTGAATATTCTAAAGTTTTTGATGATTTGGTTGTTTCGAAGATCGAAGATTCCAAAAAATCTGGAAACTGAGGCCTCAAATAATTCAGAAATTCCAGAGGTTCCAGAGATTATAGGGATTCCGAGTATTTCAAAAGCTGAAGGTTCCCAAAAATCTGAAGTATTTGAAAATTCTAAAGATTCTAAAGTTCTAAAGGTTGCGGAAATTCAAAAAATTCTGAATATTACGAGACTCTAGAATTTCCAGAGATTCGACAGATTCTAAGAATTTAGTATTTCTGAAGGTTCTAAACATTGTGGAGGTTTTGAAGATTTCGAAGATATCAAATTTTTCGACGGTTCCAGAGATTCCAAAAATTCTGATACTAAATATTCTAAAAAATCCGACAATTCTGAAGATTCACAGTATTTGAAAAATTTAAGATTCCAAAAAATCTGCAGACTTGAAAGATTCCGAAGATTCAGAAAATTACAAAGATTCCAAAAGTTTTAACGATTTCAAAAATTCCGTCTACATATTCCGAGGTCCTAGAGATTCCAGAAATTTAAAAAGATTTAAAATATTTAGGGATTCTAAAGTTTCTTAAGATTTCCAAGACTGAAGATTTGAAAATTGAAGATTTCGAAGATTTCAAATATTCCAACGGTTCCAGAAATTCCAAAAATGCTGATACTAAAGGTTCTAAAGATTCCGACAATTCTGATTATTTGAAAAATTGAAGATTTCCAAAGTTTCAGAGATTTCAGAAATTCAAAAATTGAGTATATTCCGAATTCCTAGAGATTCCAGAAATTCTAAAATATTTAAAATATTTAGGGATTCTAAAGTTTCTTAAGATTTCGAAGACTGAAGATTTGAAAATTGAAGATTTCGAAGATTTCAAATTTTCCAACGGTTCCAGAAATTCCAAAAATTCTGATACAAAAGATTTTAAAGATTCCGACAATTCTGAAGATTCATAGTATTTGAAAAATTGGAGATTCCAAAAGTTTCAGAGATTCGAGAAACTTCAAAAATTCCGTATATTCCGAGGTCCTAGAGATTCCTGAAATTCCAAAAGATTTGGAATAATTAGGGATTCTAAAGATTCTTAAGATTTTGAATATTCGAAAGTTTCTGAAGATTTGGATATTTCGAAGATCGAAGATTCAAAAAAATCTGAGAACTTTGAGGCTACAAAGATTCTTAGAAATATAAAGATTTCAGAGATTTCAAAGATTTCAGAAATTCCAGAGGTTCCAGAGATTCTAGGGATTCCAAAAGTTCCGAAAGATTGTGAAGATTCTGAAAATTCTAAAAATTGATAAGTTGAAGATTCTAAAGATTCCGAGTATTTCAAAAGCTGAAGGTTCCCAAAAATCTGAAGTATTTGAAAATTCTGAAGATTCTAAAGTTCTAAAGGTTGCAGAAATTCAAAAAATTCTGGATATTACGAGACTCTAGAATTTCCAGAGATTCGACAGATTCTAAGAATTTAGTATTTCTGAAGGTTCTAAAGATTGTGGAGGTTTTGAAGATTTCGAAGATTTCAAATATTCCGACGGTTCCAGAGATTCCAAAAATTCTGATACTAAATATTCTAAAAAATCCGACAATTCTGAAGATTCACAGTATTTGAAAAATTTAAGATTCCAAAAAATCTGCAGACTTGAAAGATTCCGAAGATTCAGAAAATTACAAAGATTCCAAAAGTGTCAGCGATTCCAGAAACTTCAAAAATTCCGTATATTCCGAGGCCCTAGAGATTCCTGAAATTCCAAAAGATTTGGAATAATTAGGGATTCTAAAGATTCTTAAGATTTGAATATTCTCAAGTTTCTGAAGATTTGGATATTTCGAAGATCGAAGAATCCAAAAAATCTGAAAACTTTGAGGTTACAAAGATTCTTAGAAATATAAAGATTTCAGAGATTTCAAAGATCTCAAAAATTCCAGAGGTTCCAGAGATTCTAGGGATTCCAAAAGTTCCGAAAGATTGTGAAGGTACTGAAAATTCTAAAAATTGATAAGTTGAAGATTCTAAAGATTCCGAGTATTTCAAAAGCTGAAGGTTCTCAAAAATCTGAAGTGTTTGAAAATTCTGAAGATTCTAAAGTTCTAAAGGTTGCAGAAATTAAAAAAAATCTGGATATTACGAGACTCTAGAATTTCCAGAGATTCGACAGATTCTAAGAATTTAGTATTTCTGAAGGTTCTAAAGATTGTGGAGGTTTTGCAGATTTCGAAAATTTCAAATATTCCGACGGTTCCAGAGATTCCAAAAATTCTGATACTAAATATTCTAAAAAATCCGACAATTCTGAAGATTCACAGTATTTGAAAAATTTAAGATTCCAAAAAATCTGCAGACTTGAAAGATTCCGAAGATTCAGAAAATTACAAAGATTCCAAAAGTGTCAGCGATTCCAGAAACTTCAAAAATTCCGTATATTCCGAGGCCCTAGAGATTCCTGAAATTCCAAAAGATTTGGAATAATTAGGGATTCTAAAGATTCTTAAGATTTGAATATTCTAAAGTTTCTGAAGATTTGGATATTTCGAAGATCGAAGAATCCAAAAAATCTGAAAACTTTGAGGTTACAAAGATTCTTAGAAATATAAAGATTTCAGAGATTTCAAAGATCTCAAAAATTCCAGAGGTTCCAGAGATTCTAGGGATTCCAAAAGTTCCGAAAGATTGTGAAGGTACTGAAAATTCTAAAAATTGATAAGTTGAAGATTCTAAAGATTCCGAGTATTTCAAAAGCTGAAGGTTCTCAAAAATCTGAAGTGTTTGAAAATTCTGAAGATTCTAAAGTTCTAAAGGTTGCAGAAATTAAAAAAAATCTGGATATTACGAGACTCTAGAATTTCCAGAGATTCGACAGATTCTAAGAATTTAGTATTTCTGAAGGTTCTAAAGATTGTGGAGGTTTTGCAGATTTCGAAAATTTCAAATATTCCGACGGTTCCAGAGATTCCAAAAATTCTGATACTAAATATTCTAAAAAATCCGACAATTCTGAAAATTTACAGTATTTGAAAAATTTAAGATTCCAAAAAATCTGCAGACTTGAAAGATTCCGAAGATTCAGAAAATTACAAAGATTCCAAAAGTTTTAACGATTTCAAAAATTCCGTATACATATTCCGAGGTCCTAGAGATTCCAGAAATTCAAAAAGATTTAGAATATTTAGGGATTCTAAAGATTCTCAATATTTTTAATATTCTAGAGTTTCTGATGATTCCAAGATTCCAAAAAATCTGAAAACTTTGAGGTTACAAAGATTGTTAGGAATATAAAGATTTCAGAGGTTTCAAAGATCTCAGAAATTCCAGAGGTTCCAGAGATTCCAAAAATTCCGAAAGATTCTGAAGGTTCCAAAAATTCTGAAGGTTCCAAAAATTCTGACACTAAAGATTCAAAAAAATTCGACAGATCTGAAGATTCACAGTATTTGACAAATTGAAGATTCTAAAAATATGAAGACTGAAAGATTCCGAAAATTCAAAAAATTCCAAAAGATTTAGAATATTTAGGGATTCTAGAGATTCAAAAGATTATTAAGATTTTGAATATTCTAAAGTTTTTGATGATTTGGATATTTCGAAGATCGAAGATTCCAAAAAATCTGAAAACTGAGGCTTCAAAGATTTCAGAAATTCCAGAGGTTCCAGAGATTATAGGGATTCCAAAAATTCTGAAAGATTGTGAAGGTTCTGAAAATTCTAAAAATTGAAGATTCTAAAGATTACGAGTATTTCAAAAGCTGAAGGTTCCCAAAAATCTGAAGTGTTTGAAAAGTATGCAGTTTCTAAAATTATAAAAGTTCTATAGGTTCCAGAAATTCCAAAAATTTAGAACATTCCGGATATTCCAAGACTCCAGAGATTCTAAAAATTCGAAAGATGCTGAAGATTCTGAAATTCCAAAGATTCCTGCAATCCTGAATTTCTGAGTACTTTAAAAGTTGACGATTCCAAAATATCTGAAGAGATTGAAGATTCTGAGGATCATAAAGATTTCAGAGGTTCTGCAAATTTCAGAAATTTCAAATATTCCTGATATCCCGAGACTTGAGGAATTTTAGAGATTGTAAAGACTCCAAAGATTCTGGAGATTCTGAAGAATCTTAGTGTTTCAAAAGATTTTATATAAAAGTTCGTCCATGTCTTGTTTTTTGTCTTCACAACCTGGTCCCATAACCTGTTACTAATATAGTATTGTATGAAAATACAACTATGGAATTGGCATACAAAAAAAAAAAACAGTAGCTCTATGGTTTTTGGATCTCCCCGACTCTACAGCGTTTAAATAGTAGAGTTGGCTTTTGTGTGTGGTGTACTGTTTTCGACACCGCGTTGGCGTACAAGGAATTTAATAATTAGAGTCGGAACATATGCGCGATAGTTTACAAACAAAAAGAAGTCTTGATGGTTTGCCAAATGCTTTTCCTACATTGTGGGAACAGTGTGGATAGGTGTAGCGCTGGGTCTATTTTTGTTTGTTGTTGTCAAATTTACCCGCTGCTTGAGATCTCGGCTTTTAAATAGCCGGCCCGAACTAAAAATCACCTGATGTACCGACTTGACCAATTGAAAAAAAATGTAGATCGTTTTATTTGCAGAGCATGTCCCCGGCGGGAATGTCGCCTTCGTACCCCCACTCGGAACCATCCCCCGACCCCCTCAGTAGTCAGTATATGATAAATCGGGGCACGCTGCCCAGGCCTTCGTCTAACAGTCCTCCGCTGACGCCCCAGCCCACCCAAGGCCCGCCGTCGACCATGATGGGCCAGCTCATGGGCGCGCTGAACAGCAGTACGGTCCTCGACGACCTCAACATCAACGTGGAGTCGTTTCAAGGCGGTTTCGACTGCAACGTCGAAGAACTGATCAAACACGAGCTGAGCATGGAAGGGAGCCTCGACTTCAACTTCCCCAACCAGCAACAGACCGTGGTCCCGCCGCCGGAGACCATTTCAGGGATTAGCAACAGCCAGCCCAGCGCGCCCCCACCCTACTCGACAACGGTAACGACGCCATCGTGGGTGCATTAACGACCGCAGTGCTGGTGAGTCCGATCGTGCACTTTTTCCACCGAATTAAATTCCTCCGCCACTCGCGATTATTAATATTTTTTCGCGCCGCGAATAAACAGAATGTTAATTAAACGTGATAAATGAACAATTAGTGAGATTGAGGTATTTTTTCAACGAAGCAAAATTAGAATTGCCACTCGACATTAATCAAAGCACCTAGTCTGGCGGAGAAAAAGAAGCGGGTCGCCGATCGAGGGATCGGCGGCTCATTCATGACGGCTAATTTTAATTATTTCCAAAGTTTTAGCGTAACGCCTGGACGAGACATAGTAAACACGATGTTAATTTGCAGTTTTACACTCGGTTAACCTCGACTCAATGGATCAATCAAAACATTGTCAAACATTATAAATTAAACATGAGGAGCTTACGGCCTCACGACTATCGATTAGAACTTTGCTCCGGTTTGCGAGAAGGCAGCCAGATTCGCGGAGATTAAGTCCGCACATGTGATGTCTTAATAGAGGCGATCAGAGAGGTCATTTTTCGCAGCAAGCAGACCGCGAACACGAACAAAAAATCCTTTTTTTGCGGGGTTTGTGTTTATAATTGTGGGTTTCTAAAGCAACACACGAAGCTATTAAAGGCTAAAGACCTTTCGGAAGACTCTTGTTTTCACCTCGCAATCGAATAAAAGAGTTTGTTTTATTGATCGCGATTTAAACTTATCGCGTAGATAATAAAACCTTAACTAAAATTTATCTGACAGTCCATCAAAAATTTGATGAGGTCAGCGCAAATTTTGGTGAGTAAATCGCTATCAAAGTTTACTTTGTGCTACTTTGAACGTGATTTAACGTAATTTAATTTTACAGTTTGGTGTAAGAATGAACGGAATTGACTAATTCGAAAATTTGGAATTAGATTTTTTTTCTTTAAAAGAAAAACATTTCGAATAAGATTGAAACATTTCGTTTTCACTTACGTCCCGTCAGATTACGCAATATGCATCATGTCAGCTCACTTGAAAAATTGTCTCTACTAAACCATTATTTTTACGAGCGAAGCGAGAAATTTTTTTACTATTTTTGTTCTCTTAGCAAATACTAGCCCCGCCCACCCGCCCTTTCTTTCCTTGTAGGATATGTGATTTGCCAAAATCAGTCTTACCTTAGCAAGTACTAGCCCCGCCCACCCGCCCCGTATTTTCTTGGAAAATATGTGATTTGCCAAAATCAGTCGCATCTTAGCAAGTACTATATTATATATTGAAATGACAAAATAAATTATTAAACAATAATTAAATAGTACTTGCTAAGATAAAACTGATTTTGCAGTGACATGCTCTAAGAAAATTCAAGGTGGGTGGGCGGGGCTAGTATTTGATAAAATAATACTGATTTTTGCGCTTTTGACATTTTTTATTATTTTTCAACTATTTCCGAAAAAAGCGAGAAAAGTGAGAACAACTTTTCGTAATTTCCAAAATTTTTTTGTCTGAAACAGTTAAAAGACTATCTGACCCAACGGAAAACAATTGGCTTATAGATAATAATTTTTCGCAGATTACGAATCAAAAATATCTTCCACGATTTGTCTTCAAATAACTGAAAAATGCGAAAAAAGGACTCCAAAAATCCTCAAAATTTCCAAAAAATTTGAAACTGTTCCAAATGGCTTTATTTGAAAGGAAAATATTGAGTTTCTAGTTTTATAGAGTATTAATCGCAGATTTATCTGATGAAATACTAACCCCGCCCACCCACCCACCCTCTATTTTCTTAAAGAGTATCTCATTTGTCTTAGTTTAGCAAGTACTACCCCCGCCACCCTCTATTTTCTTGGAAGATATGTGATTTGCTAAAATCAGTCTTATCGTGGCAAGTACTATATTATATATCGAAATGACAAAATAAATTATTAAACAATAATTAAATAGTACTTGCCAAGATAAGAGTGATTTTGGCAAATCACATACCTTCCAAGAAAATAGAGGGTGGGTGGGCGGGGCTAGTACTTGCTAAGATAAGACTGATTTTGGCAAATGACATATCCTCTAAGAAAATAGAGGGAGGGTGGGCGTGTCAGGTCAGGTCTGGTCAGGCTAGTATTTGATAGGATAAAACTGATTTTCGCACTTTTAACATTTTCAGCTATTTCCGAAAATTAGTGAGAAAAGTAAGAAAAATTTTTCGTAATTTCAAAAAATTTTGGTCTGAAACTGTTAAAAAACGATCTGACCCTATGGAAAATAGTTGGCTTATAGATAATTTTACGCAGATTAAGAGTCTAAAATATTTTTCTAAGATAACACTGATTTTGGCAAATCACATACATTCCAAGAATATAGAGGGCGGGTGGGCGGGGCTGGTACCTGCTAAGACAGATTTTAGGAAATTAAATTATTATAAGAAAAGGCATTAGAGGCTTCAGAAAGCAGTTTTTTCCAAACAGGAATACCTAGAACCTCAAGATTGTTTTAACTTTTCAAAAAAAAAAAACGGGGTCCTAAAAGTAAGTCAAAAATAAATCAGAATTTTCCAAAAACAGACCACCAAAGTCCCTTAAATAATTATCTAAAACAATTTTGGGGGACTTCGGTGTTCTAGAGGGATCTCATTTGCCAAAATCAGTCTTATCCTAGAAAGTACTAACCCCACCCACCCACCCTCTCTTTTCTTAAAGTATGTCATCTGCCCAAATCAGTCTTATCCTAGCAGGTACTATGCCCCACCCACCCACCCTCTCTTTTCTTAGAGTATGTCATCTGCCAAAATCAGTTTTATCGTAGCTAGTACCTGTTAAGATAAGGCTGATTTTGGCAAATTAGATACTATCTAAGAAAAGAGAGGGTGGGGCTAGTACCTGCTAGGATAACACCCATTTTGGCAAATGAGATTCCTCTATAGAAAATAGAGGGAGGTTGGGCGGGGTTAGTACTTGCTAATCTAAGATCGATCTTGGCAGGTAGTAGCCCCGCCCCCACTCGTCCTCACTTTTCATCGAGCGTATCTCATTTACCAAAATCAGTCTTATCTTAGTTGGTACTAGCCCCGCCCACCCACCCTCTCTTTTCTTAGAGGGTATCTCATTGGCCAAAATCAGTCTTACCTTGGCAGATACTAGTCCCGCCCACCTGCTCTCTATTTTCTTGGAAGATATGTGATTTGCCAAAGTCAGTCTTATCTTAACAAGTACTATATTATATATTGAAATGGCAAAATAAATTATTAAAGGGTAATTAAATAGTACTTGCTAAGATAAGAGTGATTTTGGCAAATCACATACCTTCCATGAAAATAGAGGGCGGGTGGGCGGGGCTAATACTTGCTAAGATAAGACTGATTTTGGCAAATGAGATATCCCTCAAGAAAATAGAGGGTGGGTGGGCGGGTCAGGTCAAGTCATGTCAGGCTAGTATTTGATAAGATAAAAGTAATTTTCGCACTTTTGACATTTTCAACTATTTCCGAAAATTAGCGAGAAAAGTGAGAAAAATTTTTGTCTGAAACAGTTAAAAAACGATCTGACCCAATGGAAAATAGTTGGCTTATAGATAATTTTACGGAGATTACGAATCTAAAATATTTTGCTAAGATAATACTGATTTTGGCAAATAATATAATTAATAATATATAATAATTATAATTATTATTATTATATATTACAATGCAGAAAAATGGGAAAACTCGTTTTAAAAATTTTCAAAAAAAATTTGATTTAAACGAAAAAAATAACATTCTTGTAAAGGTTTTTTTTATAGATTACGAATCTGTTGTTTTTTCGATGACTCGTCAGATAACTGAAAAAAGTAGAAACATATTTAAAATGGCTTTAGTCGTACGCAAAAACGGAAAACTACCCAAAAATTATTAATTTCATTTTTTCAAATAATTAAAAAAAAAATGAAAAATAATCTTGCGAATAATAGTTTTCCTAAAACTACTAATAGAGCCTTCAACCAACGAATTTGAAAATTTTCATATATACCTTTTCAAGCAACCCAAAACGTGGGAATATACTCCAGCCAGATTTGTTTCGGAGATCTAATTTGGTTTATTTTAACTGAAAATTTAGATATCCCCCGAAAAAAATGAAAAATTCGCCAGTATTTTCCTAAAAATGTTAAAACAGCCTCAAATGAAGTGGAAAAATGGAGCATCTTAGCGAGATTTTTATACATGCATAACGAATTTGAGGAATTTTATCTGTTTTCTAAAAAAACCTAGCGAGCGAAGCGAGCTTCATTGATTTCTGAAACTACATTAATTTTTTCTTGATTATTTTGTCACTAAAAATAGAGATGTGTTAAATGAGTCATTACGGCGAAATTGTGCTTTGATTTCCAGATTTTTTGCGAGCGAAGCAAAAAAAAAGCATCATTGTTTTTCGAAAGACTCTCTTTCGTTATGATAAAAGCGAAACTTATATTCATCTTTGAAATAACATCAGAAATTCTTTGTCCAGAATTTTCCTAAAAATGTTGTCTTGTAGACAATTTTCCACATTCTTTGGCTTTCTTCAAATAACCCAAAAATTCAAAAGTTACAACTTCGAGCGAGCATTCATTTTTCGAATTTTACCAATTATTTTCCGAGATTTTTTTTTTCCGACAAAGCAACGTATAATTTCGAGCTGCATTTTTGCCATTTCTTAAACATCTCAATTTTTCTTTGATTTTTTTTTTTTTAGAAAAAAATAAAGATCTCTTAAATTAGTTATTAAAGCAAAAATACGATTTAATTTCAAGATTTTTTTGCGAGCGAAGCGAGCAATTTTTTACTATATTTATAAAGGATTACTGTCCTGAAATTCTTTTTACCAGCGAAGCTAGCCCCTAGTTATAGACAAAAGGATCACCTTAGAGAGAATTTTCCAAAGATCACGATTCTAGAGAAATTGTTTTCAATATTTTCCAAATACGAGTAAAATATATAATAATTAATATTAGCATACCCTTGTAACAAAAAAAAGGGCGGAGGGTGGGGCTAGGTACTTGCTAAGACAAGACTGATTTTGGCAGACATACTTT